CACACCGGAAGCTGTTGTAGATGTCGCTGCTCAACACATGTGGACACACAAGCCATCAAAAGCGGCTGGAGACCGAGAGTTTGTCGAGGAGCGAGTCTTACCAGCAGTGATTCAAACGGTCGAACATTTACCATCCGCGGATAAAACGATACCGGAGAACGTAATTGGGAAATTGCATCTCGACAAATATTTAAAATCGGAAATACAAAAGTATGACGGTTTGTTTATGGATAAGGCGATTGACAAGCTCATTGAGAATGCTGAAGACGTAGAGAGGCTGTTTCATTTTGAGGACATGCTAGTTTGGTTTGGCAACAAGTCACCAGAAGATCAAAAAGTTGCGATTGATTGTTTGGTACAGAGGTTGAAAAAGCATCCGCTCACCAAACTTCGTTTACCCACTATTTTTGCTGATAAAAAGCAAAATGATTACCTAGATTATCACTTCGCAGACGTCGTGGAAATGAAATGGTGGGTGAGCCTATCAACAAATGAGATGTACAAGTGCCTAGACCTTAAATATAACAGAAACCACGAACTGTTTGTGATACAAGTGGGTAATTCGATTTGGAAAAAAATCAATGGGTTGGGAGAAGAGGAATTTAGCACATTTATGCTGACAAAAATGCGAGAGCGATCGAAGGATGAGATTATGTGGGCTCGAATTATTAACGATATACGCATTGATGGACACCCTAATTTCCCACTTCACAGAATATTTGATGGTCTTGTTCGGACGAATGATCAAGGTGCAGGTAACCGCAGACCTTTCGAGGCTGTCGAACTCTTGACGAGTGTTCAGTTTTCGAGAATGTTTGCTTCCGCAATACATCCCGAGAAAGTTAGCGATATGGTGTGGGAGAAACTACACTATTGGTCGAAGGATGAACTCATGTGGGCAAACCTGGTTTACATACTGAAATTTCACGAAGAAAAACCCGCCGTCTTTGACGCTGTGATTCGTCCACAGAATAAAGAATTATATGATCCAAACTTATACTCACCCAGTAAGGCTATTCAGGATTTGACGGGTCCAGAATTCTTGGAGCTGTATGAAAATTTTAAACTGCCTGCTGAAAGCGCAGAACTACTCGTTTGGCTAAGTGGAAAATCAAACGATAAACTCATGTGGGCCAAACTGTTGTTCATGTTGCGTAACCACGACGAAGTGTCCAAATTTGCTCGTGATCTGTTGGAGTCTATTCTGCGCTCATGGACAAAAGAGTCGTATTCAGCTAAATCTAATCAACTTTACCGGATGAAAGAGGTCTTGACGAACTTTCGATTTACCGATTTACGACTATACGCGTATTTCTCGAGTGACAACCCCGACGCATTTATACTAAAAAGGTTGCTTATGCTATGGCCAAATGAAGAGAAGTGGGCTTGCGCTCTCAATAATCTGCAAAATAACGATGTGCAAAATCCTTTTTCAGGTGTGCTTGGTGCTCTTCTCCACTCATGGATCGCAACGCCACAACATGCAGCTGCGGAGAATGATCGAATACTTATCGACGCTTTTGGTTTTTTGCTTGAGAAACTGCTCGCAATCCGACCCCGTTCAGCAATTCGTGACACTGCACAAAAAATGGTGCATGAGCTGCTTTTGAAATCGTAAAAGGAATACATGTGGGCCGCGTTTCTCTATAAGCTGCAAGAAGATGAAACCTTGACCAAGACAGCTTCTCCAGTCCTTGATATTCTTGTTCAAATCCATAAGCCGAACGGAGCAAAAATCGTTGAGATCAAGTCAACTGTCAATACTATAAAAACACAAGTCTTCAAGAAAGCGAAAAGCAATCCTGTGGTGAATTTACGAATTCTGATGTCAGATCCAATCACGTGGGCTAAAGTGTTGTATCTTCTTCAAAACGTTGAATCCGAGGAGCTCAAGCCTCATTTTTCCAAATTACTAACGACCCTGATTCATACATGGACGACACAATTTGATTCCCAAAATGGTGAATTGCTTTTTTCAAGTGATGATTTTGGCGAGTTGATGGTGTACGCACGCTTTTCGGGTGACAATCCCAACGTATTACTGCTGAATAGTTTGCGAGACCAGGTGGACGATGACTTGACGTTGGCTCGCCGTTTAGATGAAGAAAGGAAGACGAAGTATTTCTTAAGTGGTGTGTTGAGCGCTCTTTTCTGCTCATGGATTGGAATGCCGTACAATGCGGCAAGAGAATCAAATTTACTTGTTCTTGCTTATGAGTATCTGTCTAGTGATGCTGTCATTTCCTGGTGCAAACAGAACGAACAATCGCAGGATGTTGGTGGAAAGTTACTGGACAGACTTTTGGAGAATTCGGTAGATAAAGTCATGTGGGCCAAGTATTTAAACAAGCTACAGAACGACAAAATCATGCATGATATTGTATCCAAAGTGTTAGAAGCTCTTTGTCGAAAATGAAATGAATGGTCGCTTGCGAAGATCTAGAGCATTCAATCAGTTCTGGTATTTTCTGTTCATTACATGCTCACGATAACGGAGACTAAAATAATGATGCCTCTTTGGGTTTGGCATGCGGAGATCAAAGATTAAGCACGTTAGGCCAATTCTTTGCGTGATACTTTCCTTCGAAGCTACTATGTTTCTTTAGAGACAAGTCGTGAGAGCAATGATTGCTTAAATTCGACAGGATCGACAGCATAATTGCGTAGTAAGACAAGCGCTAATGCCCAATGAAGACATTGCATTTGTTGCAGCTTTCTAGTACATGTATATTTTCCAAATTGTTATCTAATGATGCTAGGCATCTTGAGCTCCATCACGGAACATTCGTGCCTTGCGATAGGCTCCTGCAGAGACGGCAAGCAGCGCAAATACTTTGCTTACGAGAGAGAAAGAGCTTCTTGCATGGTACTTTAGACGAAAACTAGGGCAAATAAGTAATTCATTGATACACATACCTCTATTTCTGTTTAAGGCATTCAAAACATGAAAATTTGCTTTTTCTCGTAGCCAATATCTCTCAACATCTGACTCACTGCATCATTAAACGCAGGTGGGCCACAGTGAAATACTGCTACCTTAAGAGACACTTTGGGCAATAGTTCAGCAAGTAATGCCGTATCAAGTCGTTTACCAGCTTGAACCGATCCCAATTCCTTCGCATCTTCTTCGCTGGCCTCGTGTAGCACATGGTGAACCTTAATGCGGTCAGTAAACATATTGGCCAGTGGCTCCAATTGAGTGAGTGCAATGATATGGTTCAAAGAGTGGTTACAATCTACCAGCGTAATCTTAACTAAGTATTTACTCTCGTCCATAATCGCACGAATCAACTGCAGCATGGGAGTGATGCCCGTGCCTGCAGCAATCATCACAACATGGTGTAAATTTGTCATCTTCAATTGACTTTCAATCGTCACAACTCCTGCACTAGGGTATCCAAGCATTCCTTGTGGTCCCAACATCTCGACTGAATCCCCCACTACCAAGTTATCTAAATACGTGCTCATGACCCCATTGGGATAAACTTTGACCAACAAATCAAATGATCCTACTTGGGTGAACTTTGACGTTGGAGTGAACGCTCTCTCGATCATAACACCATTTATTTTAGCACGCACTTTGAGATACTGCCCGGGCGTTGTGAGTCCCAAAACCTTAGTACCAGGTAATTTGAAAGTAAATTTAACAGTCTGTTGACTAACAGTCTGCTTGTGTTCTAGCGTGAAAGAACGCCATTGCATTCTATCCAATGCAAATCTGGACGTCTCTGAAGCGAGACTTACTGTTGTTGGATCCAATAGACCAATGTAACATTTGTCCAACATTCCATGACCATTAACCCATGGATGTTTCTCATTAAAAAGGTCAGTACAGTCCCCTCCGGCCGCTAAAAGCACTTCTGCAATGCCTCCAGGGTGATATTTTAGATATGGCGTCAAATTGTACACTTTACCGTCCAATACACTCCAGCAGTCGCTTTCGGTACAGTGGGAATTCACTTCTTCCATCGAGATGGCGCGACGTGCGGGACCACCACGAAGACCTGATAGGTCTTGACCCGATTGACATAGTTGCATCCAGTGCTATCACGTACATTCACATCTTAAGTGTATCGTTCATAATGGTATAGAGAAAGTCATATACCAATTGGCTATAGCCGGGGGATAGCGCTACCTTCTTGCGGCGCTGGACCATAGTTGGGCATCCGCTCATAATAATAAAAATGACGGTGTTATTGGGTAAAAGAGTGATTGTAAAGTTTTATATATTCATCAATTTAGAACGCTTCTTCCTTTGGCTCCTTGACGACACTTGCTTTGGCTTTCGCTTCATTAACTGCTTCTCTATTGACATCCCGACAGTCTGTCCTTCACTATTGTCTCCTCCTGTCCCACTCTCAGTTTCAGAATTTACTAACTCAGCAGTAGACTCTACACTTGTTTCCTTATCATCTTTTTGTGCCTCCTCTAGCTTCATCTTCTTGACTTCATACTTTTCTTTTCCTTCCTTCTTCCGTCTCTCCTTTCGCGTCGCTTTAGCCGCTTCCTTCCACTCTAAAAACGATTTCGTCCGTTTTGTAGTCAATGCCGCATCCAGCCATTCCTGTTCCACTTGCCACTCGTGTACTAATAACTTTTGTAAAAGCATCGGGCTCTACAAATACATAAAAATTATTACGACATGCCTCTCACCTGGTCGGTTATCATTGTCCAACGTACCAACACATTCATTTCGAGAAACCCTTTGCAAGAACAAGTGGCCACTTTTCTGCGGCCTAAAACATCAATGAATCTGTCTATACAAAGCTCCCCACGACTGTTAACGTCGATGTCTCTCGTGCGGTAAAAGTTCAACAACTTCGAGTTTTGCAACTCGGTCGCGACAATAAATAACAAGTGAAGGTCACTGCCCATAGCAATCAAACGTCCGTTGACGATCTTCAGCTCTTGCATCCACGCACGCACTATTGACACATACTTAGCTCGGTCATAAAAGTGGTCAATACGCACGATCATTATCTCCACGTCTGTCATAGCGCTTCAAAAGAATATAATTATACCGGTAAAATATGGTGCAATTAAATATGGACACAATTTATGGTGTACGTATTCCATTCACTTTTGTCACTATTTCCCTCGGACTTGAAGCCAGACAACGAAGACGAAAGTTGAACTATAGGGATTAATATATAATTTATTGTTGTCTTAATATATTTAATAAATTTAGTTTACCAGATTGATAATAGCAATATATCACTCGCTGAATTCACTCAGAGCAAATAAGTACTTGTAACTTAAGAAGCTCTCGGCTCCGTGCTAAGTCGAGCCTAACGCAGACCCATAATCTCATAACTTTTTCCGTGTGACGTGCGCGACATTACCGTTAAACTTAGTGGCACACATTGCCAATTCGATGATTGTGATTTCAAATACCCTCTGTTACGATAGGCCACGAGATGTCCTTCGGATAATTAAACGCACCCAAGAAGCTCCTGGCTCTGATCAGTCCCAGGGGTGGAGCACAATTATCGCCAATGTGTTGAAAGCGTGAATTGCTCGCTTGGAGTAGCTTACCAGAAATATCATACGGTGGAGCCAGGCACGCCACACTATGGCATTTTTGGAGGACAATTATCGCCTTCCTTGAATCAACTAATTTTCAGCGCTCAACCATTCAATGGGATTGGACCAGAGAGTTCGATAACATGCTATCAGCCACGCATCGGATGGAACATCAGCGTGTCAGACTAGCGAACATAAAGGAGGCTGCGCGCGAGATTACCAAGATCCAGTGTAACGGGGTCACACATACCCTGGTGACAGGCGGGGGTGTCACACCAGATGGGCATGGTGTGACCACACCCAAACAAGAATGCGGTACGGGGTTGGATAGCCAGTAGTTATACATGTATTTAGGTTTTACTATATATATTTAGGAAAATCTATGCATTTAAAATCAAGCGGCTTTGCCGCACATATAAAATAAATAGAGTTAGTTTAGAATTTAAACCGAAGAGTTAGTTAGCCTTGGGATAAGGCTATAACTACTCTAGGAGAAAGCGGTTTGCGATCCGCGAAACTCGTACTTGTTCTGAGTATAGAACGAGAGGTCGGTCACCTAATTTACACTCCCTCAAAGCGCAAAGCTACGGTAGCCCCGCTGCACTTGGTAGCACTTGTAGTCAATCTACACATGAGTCTTTTAGACTGATCCTGTGTGAGGATGAAAGAATTTTCCTCTTTGCCCCAGGGCATGCAGGACGGGCTTAAAAAGCTGATGTCCTTGCTTGGCCCTGAGGGAGTGCAACACTTGGCTGCGCAAGGCCCCGAGGCAATCGATGCGCGTCTGGAGGCGTTTTTGAGTCATGAAAACACGCTGCTAGAGCACATGCAGCAGAAGATATCTGCATCGTTCGCGTCTACGAGACGGAAGACTTCCCCCGACCTAAGCCGCTCATCGTGAGCATTAAGAATTTTAAGGGGAAATATGGAGAGAATCCCCTACTCTGGGTCAGAGAGGTCGAGATGGCCATCGCATCTGCCATGCTCCAGACCTAGCCATCTCAAACTTGGTGGTCGAGCTCGAGAATTGGCACCAACGTGCGGCACTTCGGTCGAAGCTGCGTTTCCATCCTGGGCGAAGCTGAAATTACAGCTCTCACGAGTGTTCTCGCCGCCCTATCAGGCATATCGCGTGTGATCGCGATTCCTTGCAGCCTGACAGGGCAACAAGAAATCGGTGGACTTTGTCCAAGAGATGCGCACTCTCATTCCCGGGATGGCAGCAGATCCCCTTCCTGAGGCGGTCACAGTGACCGTCTTTATGAAAGACCTCCGCACTGGCGTGGCCGGAATGGAAGTCTTCCGTGTGCATCCGTCTTTATTTGACGAAGCGGTGAATGTGCCATTGAATGCCGAGTTTATTTTCAAGTTGGCATGACTTGGTTGGAATGCACACTCCAATAGCTCGTCGAACGGGTCTGTGCCCATGGATCTCAGCTATGCTGAGGACGAGAAAA